GTACCGGTCCGAGGCCCGGGGGTTGGGGACCGCTGGTGAAGATCATCAAATGGTCCAAATCTTTACATGGAGCCCATAAATATACAGGCTTGTGGGGTTTTGCCACAGTTTATTGAATTACTGTACGGTCTTTACCTTGCAGTGGCCTGATCCTATATAGATCGTCTGCCTTTATTACATAACCTCCTTTTGTGCTAGTACACATTTACATGTTTTGGATAGTGCAGATGCTCCCAACGTCACTTTTTTAATGTGAAAACCCAAAGTTTCCCTGCTTAAACTCAACTTTAGCTGATGGCCACTTGCCCAAACTGCTGGTGGTAAGGCCAGTGAGGTGCAGGACTTACTGGACGGGGTTTTCTACCTAATTTCTTCTGCTGAACAACAGAAGTCAGACCCGATGATGTTAAAGCAGAAGCTATCTAATCTTTTGACTTGATCCCAGCTTCTGTTTGTTTGTGTAATTCAGCGTAAAACAATCCATCTGTGTTTGATTTCTGTTCATGAACTTTACCTTGATCAAAATTGTTGAGTTTCTTGGAGTTGGATCGCTCCCCGAGTCCCTCGATGTCCACAAGATCGCTGTTCACATCCGAATCATTCAGAGCGCTGAGGGTCACATCTGCACACACACAGCACTCACTTCACTTCTCTGTATCATTTGTTCATTTTTGTGTATTTAACATTTACAAAAAGTTATTATTTACAAGCTACAAGAAAGTTGTTTTGTTTTTTAATGAAATGAATAAAACTGTTGGTGGAGTCGAGGAAGGAGACCTGCAGTCTTCTGTTTCTTCAGAGGAGGCTGGCTGGAGGGGGGACCCTGGAGACCTGCTGCCATGACAACCTGAGCTGTGGACACAGAGATAACAGCTGGAGGGCCCTGCGATGCTCTGGCAACAGCAAGAGTGGATTTCTTGATGACCTTCTTCGGACTGTCAGAAGTTGCAGGCGTAGCTCCATCTTCATATGGTTTCCTCTTCACTGTGCTCTTTGTCAAACTGCTGGAGGACAGATGGGAGCTAAATTAAGGATTAAGCTATTCCAGCCCACAGTGGGTAGTCTCTGCACATGTGATGACGCAGATGAATCACACGTTCTGTGACCATTTATTTGGTAACTCATCTGACTCTGACTGTAACACTCTGTGTCTGATTCATGTTTATTATTAAAACCGGCTCACAAAGTTACACATGAATAAGACATGTCCAGATTCTTAGTAGATACACCTGTGGTCTCAATTTAAAAGTTCTACGTTGAATTATTCTCGAATTTTCTGAAAATCTTATGAATGTGCAAACTTAAACTTAAATTGCGACATGCATTCTATGCACATGTATAAATTTTGGAGTGTAGACTCACGTAAATGCTCATCCTGTTCTAGCAGATGGTTTCCTCTCCTTGAAGAACCTGGTCTGATTATTGGAGTCTTTCCTTCGATATTTGGGCCTTTACCTTATATAAAGCAGTGACTCCATAGTGTAGTGGTTTACACTACTCAAATCCTTTGGAGTTTGCATCAGAAAGGACATCTAGTAAATCTACTTAATCAAATATCCATCCACTGAGGCTACGTTCACACTGCAGGCGACAGCGCATCAAACCCGATTTTTTTGACCCTATGCGACCCATATCCCATCATGCTATGACAGTGTGAACGGCACAAATACGATATTTTCAAATCCGATCTGGGTCACTTTCGTATGTGGTACTGAATCCGATACATATCCGATGTTTTAGAAAGCAACTGCTGTTTGATGGTCTAGTCGCATTAATTTTACGTCACTGACACAAGACAGACGCCAATTATCAGCGCCAGAGAAGACATCGCGAACGCTTCCTGGCAATCCGGTGAAACTGCTGGGAAGACAACATTGGAGAAACATGAACATTTTATTTGTTCTGTATAATCTGCAGATTCTGACAGAAATCTGCAGATTATCCTTTGAAGCACCGCTCCTCTAAAACAGCAATAAGGATCATTATTAGGCCAAATGTAAATAACAAAATAACTTAAAGCTAAATTGGGAAATGTAAAGTCTAAAACAAGTCTTTATATTAAGGGCCATCAGTCAAACAATATTGCTTGGTTTAGGTCTAAACAGAGCGCATTGTGTGTGACGTCTTCTTTTGCGCATGCGGGCCGCTTTGAGCGTTCACACTAGAGCGCGTTTGCTGTCACATTTTATTTGTAGTGTGAACGAGCAGACAAAAAAAAAAAAATTGATTTGATAAAAAAATCTGAATTGAGCATCAAGACCTGCAGTGTGAACGTAGCCTTAGAGACCCCTCGTGAAAACGTTTACCTTACTACAGGGGTGGGTAACTCCAGGCCTCGAGGGCCGCTGTCCTGCAGGTTTCAGAGCTCACCCTGGGTCAGCACACCTGAATCAAATGATCAGGTCATTTCCAGGCCTCTGGAGAACTTCAAGATGTGTTGAGGAGGTCATTTAACCATCTAAATCAGCTGGACACGTCTAAACCTGCAGGACACTCGAGGCCTTGAGTTGGACACCCTGCCTTACTATATAAAGCACACTGAGATAAACCGCTGTTATAGACAGAAAATTAATTTACTTAATTCAACGGTTTATAATGAAATTAAACTTATATAAAGTACATCTTAGTTTTTGGCTCCAACAACAAAAACAGCTAAAGTCCATACGAAATACAACAACATTACTTTTTATATAATTATAGATAAATTATAATTATACAAGGTGTGTGAGACTAGTGTTACCCGGCAGGACTGGACTCTGCCACTGGGTGAAGCTGCATGGTGAGTTCTCCTAGTTTGGTGAAGGCCGCTCCTGCTGCAGAGAAGATCTCGCCCACCTGGCCAACACAGAGTGGTTAAGTGGACACGTAGCATCAGTGGAAAATGACTACGTATCGTTCCACATGAACGTTGTAATAAAGGGATGTGTACTGTAACATGCTGCGATTAACATTTAGGTGGTAGAGCAGGTCAGCTGAGAGAAGGTTGGTGGTTCAACCCCTGTCTGCTCCAATCTGCTTGCCAAATATCTTTGGGCAAGATACTAAAACCAAATATGAATGTGTGTGGGTGAATGAGGCAAGTTATATAAAGCACGCTGAGTGCTCAGATAGAGGTTTATCGTTCTGATCCAGGTTGTTTATGTGCAGTGTCCAGGTTTAACCAGTGTCGTGCTGCTTTGAGACACTGGCTGAACCTGCTGCACGCAGTCACAGCACAGTAATACAACAGTACTAGCAAGGTTACCCTGGTGCAAGCAAGGTGACGTCAAAGCCTCGGTGACGTACACCTGGAGGTATACAGATTCCCCCTCACTGGAAAAGAAGGACCAAAAGCAGCACGTGGGCATAGGTGATCCATGATTTTCCATTGTTGCTTTTTAGATAATTTGTCCTAAAACTTAAATAGCGATTTTGCAATATTGTTTGATGTTCCCCTGGAAAAGTTCAGTCCATGTTTTGGCCATTGTGTAGAAGCAGCGGGAAGCTCAGTGCAAACTGGGGTTGGTACGTTTGTGTAAGGATAACTGTATGCACACCGTGTAATACATGCTAGATGTTCACGTGTCAGACTGACTTACTTTAGTAGAAGCTGAGGTCATTTCGCTGGTCTCTGTGATAGCACACTATCAATGATGTCCTCCAGTTGAATTACAGCTACTACGATGCTAACAGCATAGCCAGGTAGCATTTGGTGCGCTTGCTAATGTAGCTCCACAGCTAGAAAGCAGCTCTCCCGCCGTCTTTAGTATCGCTGCTTGGAAAAGGCAGTCTTTTTCATACCGTGCTGCATACTGCTGCAAAAGGTGTTTTAT